TTCATTCCCATCGTCCGACGACGAGGCATCCGATTTCATTGCATCGCTTCATGCCTCCATCAATGCAGCAGCAGCGGCGGCCTTGGAATCTCAACCCCACGATGCTCGAAGGGAACACTCCCTTCTTCCTTCAACAGGTGCTCCAAACCCTCCGCGACCCCGTCGACAAAAGGCTGTTCGACGTCCTTCTGCGCGCCGCGAAGCCATTCGACTATCACATGCCCCGGTAAAACTAACAGGCTCCCAGTTTGAGCTATTCACCGCCTCAACAGGCGGGGGAATTCGAACTGGCGATCCCTATGCTCGATTTTTAATAGGCCCCAGGACCGAGCGATTACAGGTCCCGACAGTCGAGGAAGCAGGACGGTCAAAGACAGATCGGCAAATGGCAGCCAAAGGCTTGATGGTTGGCAAAGCACCTGCTGGCGGGATAATAGCGCGCTCCTTCCCCGTGAGCAAAAGGAAGCGAAAGCAAATGCAAATGGCTGAGATCAAAGCCGAGCTAGTAAGCAAGTGGGAGAGGTTGGAGGACTTGAGGTTACAGTAGGTATTTTTCTTGTTTCTACGGATGTGCTGATCGAATGACTGTGGATATTGAAGAGTTGAAAATTCCTTTGTGTCGCATGAAGAATCATTGCCCGGATGAAGTCTCTCAAGCATTACCACGGAGAACTACAGTCACTGTAAGCGTCACTTGTCCATCTACGCTCTTGTAGAAGTACTTGTTAATAGATTGCTCTAAACTTTGAAAACCCCAAAAGAAAGGACGAAAATAAGCAGCTAAAGGAAGAGCATCAACGCATCACAGCGGAAATGGTTTGTGTATGCAGCCTAATTCGAATATTGCTCTGTGCAATAACAGAATCAATCCTGCTTCCTTTATAGAATACGCGAGTTTCCGAGATATTAGATTCCAATGATGACCAAAACCGTACTATCCTTCAAGTGCACCGCGAACGAAAACAGCAACGTGCAAAACTCGAACGTGATATGGCCAGGTTCCACGCAGCCGCGGACGAACGTATTCAAGGTAATGAATGTTGGGATTGAATTCAATTCCATTTGCTACTTACTAATCTTCCCCTGGTAGAGCTAGAAAAAGTCGTGCGAGAACGTCAAAGCAGCCTCGAAGAAGCTGAACGGGATTTGGAGGAGCTTGTTGAGTTTGAGGTATGAATGGCATCTAGTGCGCTCTGTCAGCGCTTCGTAGCTAACAGGAGAAAATATTTTCAAGAATTTGGTCGACATAGACCCAGATGCAATGTCCAAGCAAATCTCTGCCGTCCAGGCCCGCAGAGATGCCCTTCTTGTTGAGCATGAGCGCAAGCTAGCGGCATTAAGCGAGCACGCTGAGACCGAGGGAAAAGAATCGGAGCAGCTGTTTGTTGACAAAATAATGGCCATTATTGACCAGGAGAAGTCGGTATGTCGACCAATGTATCAGTTCCTTCATGCTTTATAGTTAATAACCGGCGTTGCATTAGCAACTGACGTCAACATTTGACGACGTACTGAAAGTGTCCGTGAAAATTAACAAACGGCTACGACGAGAAATCGCCCTCCAGCAAGAGCACCAACTGAAAATAGAGCTGGAAATCGAAGCTAAAATGGCCGAACAGCGACGGGCCTTCGAAATGAAGCGTAAGATGGTGGATACCCGCCGGAAAGTGCTCCAATTGTCCAAATTTATGACTTGCACACCAGATATGGAGTTCAGCGTCGGTGATGTGTTCACTGAAAGGAATACCTCTAAAGATGACAGAGTAGTTTCTACAGCGCTGGCCGCATCATCTTAGTGATAGGCATAATCATTGATTAAAGAGGCACGGTAAATATTGTTTTGTGATATAATTTTAAGAGCTTCGCACCCGCCCTACAAACTTCCTGTCCATTTAGGATCTAACAAAAAGCCCGTAGCGTAGCGCCATAGTTTCCGACATATGTGTAATCCATCAACTTCTGTTGTCGCGGAGTTTATCGATAAAGGTGGTCTGCCTTCAGGTTGCGTGCGAGCTCAGCCTCCCACTTGTCTCCATTCGCCAGCAATTTTTCCTTGTTGTAAAGCAATTCTTCGCGGGTTTCGGTAGTGAATTCAAAGTTTTGAGATTCAACAATAGCGTCAACAGGACATGCCTCCTGGCAAAATCCGCAGTAAATGCACTAAATAGACGTAAGTGGCATTAGGAGCAGATTCAGTAGAAGCCGCCGATAGCATCGAGATACACACCTTAGTCATGTCAATGTCGTAACGAGTCGTGCGACGACTCCCGTCTTCACGCGGCTCGGCCTCAATGGTAATGGCTTGCGCCGGGCAAATAGCTTCGCAAAGCTTGCATGCAATGCAACGCTCTTCTCCTACAAATGTGGACTTGGTCAGGAGTCGCTCACAATCGTACAAACTCGCAAAGAGTGCTTTGCCTCACTGGCATGGGCAGAGCCTACCTGTGGGATACCGCCTCAGAGCGTGCTCTCCTCGGAACCGCGGGCTAAGAGGGCCTTTCTCCTGAGGGTACATAATGGTATAAGGAGGCTTGAACATTTGCTCAAGGACGAGCCACATCGTGCGAATAATCTCGGTAAGGAACATTTCCTGGGCGGCACGGTCAAGAACAGGCATTTTGATAGCCTTTTCCGGGTCATCGTTGAGACGCTGCTGTTCTCTGCGAGCACGGACCGTCACAGAGTCAGCAGTGGAGCGGTGGGCGTAGCGGAGTGCTGTTCATTCAGCGGGTAGTCAGAGAAGTTTGAACTCTGTATGATGTGGATAGCCCAACTCTGGATGACTTACCGGTTGCTGCGAGTGGTGACGCCCTGGTAAGAGACGCCACGGACGTCCTTCCAGCAAGCAATGGAAGGGACCGAGAGATGCGTGCAGAAAACATGGTGGGCAGCTCTGGTATACCGATGATCTGCCCTTACCGGTGATCCCAAGAGTCACTATGGTTGTCGTGCTGGACAACAGCGGAATCCTTCGTGCATGTGGCTTCAACAGAGCACGTGATACTTTTGGGGCTTAGTTGCAAACGTAACATCGGATCTGGACGGGGATTGAAATCGTTGAACAACCTACAGCAACAGCTGAAGAATGGCAGCTGCAAATATTCCAATGGTTAAGTGCAGACCCATATGAAGATCTGCAGGGTGCCTCGTTGTTTGGTGATTAGTCCGTTACGGAAGGCAACGGTTAAAGCCACTGTCGTCTAACTCATGAACTACATGAAAAGCGCAAAGCACCCGAAAACGCCTTCTTCGCCCTGCGATCAACAAGATGGCTCTCAAAGGTGTTGTAGCAAAAGAACACATTCAAAGACTTGACGTAGATCTCCACCGGCGCCAATCCCAAAAGCTGCCCACGTGTCGTGTTGAAGCCACGTGATTCATCGCGGACCCCAAGCCCATCAGCACTGCTGTCCGTCACGTCATCCAAAACCCCTTCGTCAGTTCTCCATTCCCAAAGTATGAGTCCGTCCCCTCCAGACTCTTCCCGGTCTGCAGGAGGAAACAATAAGCATCCTCGGTCTCTATCGGATACGCCCGTGAGCTTGTCATCTTCGCAATCGACGGCATCGGAGAACCGCAAGCCAGCCCCTTACTCTGCAGCATCTTCACCAAAGTGGCAACATTCCTCTACTTCCTCTCATAAACAAACATCTCCGCCAAGGCGCAAGTTACAACCCACCGCGAGGCCAAAACGGAACGCTTATGCTCCCTTAGCTGCATCACCGTCGTTGGTGAATGACGAGAGATATTCACTGGATGCAGTCAGTCCGGTAGGTGTATACTTACGACAGTTTTTATAATAACCAGACCAGTCATGAATATGACAGCTGGGTAGGGCTCGTGCCTATTTGTGCTGCTCCCATGAGGTTGTGACCCTCACTTGGGAATTGGCACAGTAGTTACGTGACACCAGATTGCTGCGTGGTACCTGGCGCCAAATAATACACTATTACGTATGATATAAAGCTAATCAAACCAATTCAATGGCATACCATTAGCGAACAGGGACGTCGAACGGAAAGGATTACTTTGCCGTAACTCACGACAACTCCTCCGATTCAGAGTCAGAAAGACCTCCATCATTCTCCTCGACACACTCTGCCGAGCGCTTAGTCAGTAGCTCGCCAGGCAAGGCAGAACGGTCGCCCCGCGTCCACATTAGCGCCCGCTCTTCAGGGCGCTCTTCCCAATATAATTCGGCACCTGAAAATCCCTGTTACGCACCGAGCCTCATGGATATTCCTCAGGAACCTGCCATCGATGGTCCCGCTCGTTACCATGATTCCCTAGTTAACCCACCGCCAGAATTTGAAAACCCGGTTCCTCCTGTGACCCCACTTACTGGACAGCAATTTCTAGCGATTGTTGACGAAGTCCGTGCCGCCATTAATGACGGCATCTATCCGACACTTATATCACAAGGATCTTCCGGTTCGTACTTTTGTCGTAACCGCGACGGTGAAATTGTGGGAGTGTTCAAGCCAAAGAATGAAGAACCTTATGGACATCTCAATCCGAAATGGACAAAGTGGATACATAAGAACCTTTTCCCCTGTTGTTTTGGACGTAGTTGCATTATACCCAACCTCGGTTACATTTCTGAGGCAGCTGCCAGCTACGTTGATCGCCGGCTACAACTGAACGTCGTCCCGCGTACGGAAGTTGTATATCTAGCGAGCCCTACATTTTTCTACTCGAGAAGGGACTGGAGCGCATACCGCAAGGGCAAACCACTTCCAGAGAAGGTGGGAAGTTTTCAAGTCTTCTTGAAAGGATTTAAGGATGCCACTAGATTCTTTCGCGAAGGATATGAACGGATGCGCAGAGCGGGAAGTGCAAGTGGATCCCAACGCGGGTCTGCGGAAAACTTACCAGCGTCTGGAAATGGTGCAAATCCTTACCAGCCCTATGAATGGTCCGATCGTGCACAGAAGGAGTTTCAGTGGGGTTTCGAAAGGCTGGTGGTACTAGACTATCTGATAAGAAATACAGATCGTGGCCTTGACAACTGGATGGTGAAATTTGATGAGGAGGCGGATGAGAACGAGAAGCGCGAACGGGCAGCTCAGGCTGAGGAACAGGTTTCTGTGACTCGTGCAAAAGAGGAAGCGGGTCCAAAGCCTGGCTCAGGTGCCACCAACGATACAACTGTGGCAACGTTGCTCTCGATGTCTATACCATCGGTTCCATCCGAAGCAACCCTGGCGGATGGTACAGCAAATGTGGAAAGTAGCAGTGCCACAGAAGTGACGACCGCTGATGCACCCCAGTCTCCAAGTTCCGTTGTTCCCGGAGTGGCTGTTGATGTCCCGGACCAAACCACGGATGTAAATCATCTGCCCCCTAAAGTGACTGCCGAACCTCTGACAATTGACTCCATCACATCTGACGCACCCAACACTTCCTCTCAAGTTAATAAACCTCCGCCTATTGTACAGATCGCCGCCATCGACAATGGTCTTGCATTCCCCTGGAAGCACCCGGATCGATGGCGTTCATATCCCTACGGATGGGCTTACCTTCCAGCTGCACGCGTTCCATTCTCGCGTGAAACCCGCATACAAGTTCTTCATCTCCTCACTTCGCCGACCTGGTGGCGGGAAACCATGGACGGCCTGGAACGGCTGTTTCGAATTGATCCAGATTTCAGCGAAACCATGTGGCGTCGACAACGCGCTGTGGTTCGTGGTGAAGGATATAATCTGGTGGAAACCTTGCGAAGATCCGAAGTTGACGGACGCGGAGGGAGTCCATGGGGACTGGTTCGTCGTCCTGTCGTTGCGGTCTTTGAAGAGGAGATTATAGATGAAAGCGAAGATGGTGACGTTGACAGGGGAGCATGGGCAGAAGGTGTCATGGGCGGTCCAAATATGGGGATGCGACCTGGCCGGAGGAGGAGCTTTGTGGAAAGGCAGGGAAGGAGGTTTGTTAAACGTGTGAGGCAGAGATTTGAAACCTTTGCACGAAGTCGGCCGTGCTTTGAGAATTGGTAGCCATGGTGGAGATGAATTGCATACAGATAGATGTCTGATGATCCGGCTCCGCACTATCATGTGGCAGGTCTTTTATGGATATACATTATGTGCTCTATTTTTATTGCTATGTGCTTATTTTTGTCAAAGAACTGCGACGGGCCAGTAACAGAGCAATGAACTCAAGAAGACCTCGATCTGCATTTGTCTATGAGGTTTAAAAGTCATCACTGATTTGCTACAAAGTCATATATCAACGATCTACTAAATTTACCAACCAGATACGCAGCACACCCAGTTGTGAGATAGCCTGCCCATCGTCCACATGTGAGATAACTGTGGTTTGTTGGTTCATCTGGTTTGAATGAATAATTGGTCACCTCTGCAGTCCGATGACTAATCGTTCGCCGAGATTAAAAAGTCATGAACCTCCGTTTTCCTCGACTGTTTTCTACAAGCTGCTGTTATCAACTATGGTCATGGCGGTGCTAGATCCCAGTTCAGATCAGAACGGCGGGGATAATGTCATCTCATTCAGTGTCACCCACAAAGGAACGGTAGTCCCGCTGACTTTCGCACTTTTGGCAACCATATCCGACGTCAAAGCCCATCTTGCGTCCCTTCCCTCAATCAATATACCACCACATGCTCAAAAACTTTTATTCAAGGGGAAATCTAGTTATGCCGAAAATGCTACCCTTGCTTCAATAGGAGTCAAAACAAATGCCAAACTCCTCCTTATCGGATCATCAGCCGCCGAAATTCATGCAGTCCAGGAAGCTACGAAACGAAAACAGGAAGCACAAGCTCGGGCAGCATCCCAGCGACCAGTGAGACCTTCTCAACCAATTCGAAGTATCGGATCAGTCGATGACGCAAACTATACCTTCCATTCCATTCGTCCACTCCCCGGTTTCTCGGATGAGAAGCAAGCAACTCTTCTTCTCAAACGTCTCCGCGATGACGCCGGAATTCAGTCAATTATGCGGAATCACAAGTGGTCGGTGGGTGCTTTAGTCGAGCTACACCCATCGGAACGCACGATATTGGGATACAATGAAAACAAGGGGCAACGAATCGCTCTCCGTCTCCGCACAGACGACCTGGACGGCTTTCGCTATTACGATTCTATTCGAAAGGTGCTATTACATGAGTTGGCTCATATGGTGCACTCGGACCACAATGCTGATTTCCATGCTCTGAATCGACAATTGAATCGGGAATGCGATGCCGTGACACGAGGGGGGCGCACACTGGGTGCCAAAGGCGAGTACTATAATTCTGGCGAAGAGGAGGCTGTGGATGCGCCTGCCTTTATGGGTGGAACATTTAGACTAGGGGGTGGAAGTCAAAGTCGGGATAACAAGAGTCAGAGGGAGATCTTGGCAGAAGCGGCCTTAAAGAGGTTGACTAGGGAAGAAGTGGAATTAGTAGAGGGTTGCGGTAGTGGAATACATGCAGACGATAGTGATGATGCGCACCAGGCTGCAAGTCAAAATGAACCATGATATTTAGGCGTGCTATAGTTAGTGTAGATACTTAATTTCTTGGCTATTCAGCAATTTGCGGTTTCTGCCGTTGGACATCCTGTTACAGGCGTTTTTGGAATAGTAAATCACCTTTCATCTACTTTTTGACCTTCTTTTTCTGCATCGAAGTACCGGAGCATTATCACTCAGAGCAAGAACACATTCACTGGGGCAGGATGTAACCCTATTTTCAGGACCACTGTGGATGTATTTTCGTTGTCTAGCTCAATATCGTTGGGCACTTGCCCAAACATTCGGCCAAAATGACGCTTGGGAATTTGTTGCCAGCTATATCATCATTCCAGGCTTCTTTTGGAAAGGACAGCTCTTGTGGGCCAGTCCTTGAATCTCATAATCTGAAGAGATCTCCCCACAGCTAGAGGTGTGTCTTTAAGCAGCACAAGATAACCTGTTGACCACCATATCGGCTGATAGATATACTAATATAATTATAGTTTATGTAGATGTACAATCACTCATTTCCCTCTAACCCGCTTATCCCTTCACTGCTGTCCTTCTTCTTCCAGCTGGTTGGGCCACGCCGGCCTTTCCTCGGCAACCATGATCTACCGGCAGTCTATGTCCTATACACACTTGCTCTTCACAAGTAGAGCACTTGAAGGGCACCACTTCCCGCTTTTTACATCCTTTCACTGCACACCGATTGGCCAATTTCCTTCGCTTTGCCTCAGCTTCTGGTGAAGGACATCCGGATTCAATATGTCGATCGACAGCAGCGTTTGCTACTTGTGGATTCGAGGGCGATGCACCCGGGACTGGATGCAAACAGAGGGGACATACAACGGCCTTTGCGTCGCTCAAACCAGAGCAAGATGATATGTGATGAGAAAAGTCTCGGTGATCACGGCAATATGATTTGGTGCAAAGGCGACAAGTGAAGGGAAGATAATCCAATTGGTCGCAGGTTGCGCAGTGTTTGCCAATGTGGTAGAGCTCCATGGTTGTTGTAGAATGGTAGAGTAGGAAAAGATGATAAAGAGAGAGCAAGTGTTCCTTGTATCTGAATCCGACGGTTTTTTATTCACCGCATATTTGTTTGTAATTGGACTTTCAGCTGAGAAATCAACAACGCCCCCCTCCGCAGTTCAGCTTTTAGACGCGTAAGTGGGATGGAAGACAAAGGAAGGTTTCAAGTTATGCAGTCGAACAAAACTCATCTGCTGCGATGGGGCAGTGGACGGAAGGGCTGTTATCCCTCCGCTTCCGGCTGTGGGGTTCAAAAAGTATAGACACGACGACTACGTGTGTGTGTTTCAATACGCGTCTAGCTCAAAAATAGTCTTGGCACACAAAAAGAGAGTGAGTAACCTTGAAAGGGTGCATGACCTGTCTAAGTCCGTAAAGAAGCATAAAAGAAGGAGGAACGAATCCATTTCCCTCCACAACCACTGAACATTACAAGCAATCATGAGTACTCAAGTATACGCCAAAGTCTCTTTTGAAGGCCGACTCCGTCAGTTTTCCATCAATCGTGTTGCGGCAGGATATGACTGGAAATCCTTTGAGGATGAGGTATGTTTTGGTGTTTTCCGGGCACAGTTGAATTATGTCATTAATGTTGCATCTTAGATTCGTCGTCTCCATGAGATCCCGCCTACAACCCGGATCGTTGTCACATACAAGGATCAAGATAACGACACCATTTCTTTGAACACAGACGCAGAGTTGAGGGATGCCGCCTTCGAGGCAAGGCAGGGCAAGAGTGCTGGTGATCGCGTAGTTATCCGCTTTGACGTGCGCGACCGCGATGCCGACCCGGCTGGATTTGTTGTCGTGAATGAGCAAGAGCAGAGTGCTCTGCCTGAGCCGGCCCAGCCATCAGTCCAGCAGAGTGCCCAGAATGAGCCGGTTTATCCGTCGGTCCCAATTGTTGCGGAAAGCCCATCGGTCGACGATGGGCAGAAAGTTGCTGCAGAGCATCCGGTTGACACCAGCGTTGACAAGGGTAAAGCACCGGCTTCTGCCACGGCTACATCTGCATCGTCTTCGAATCCATCCGTGAAGGACGGTGAGCCTCGCCCGGAATCGACTTCTTCGCCCGAAAACAACGGATCGTCTTCGTCCTCTTCAAATAACCAAGACAATGAGGCCCCGCAGAATCCTTTTGAAGCCTTTACCGAAAACATCAAGCCGCTGCTCGACCAAATTCAAGCCAACATTGATGCTCATCCCGAATTTGTCCAATCCATGAGTAACCTCATTTCCCAGATTGGTGTGCAAGCCCAGGCGCACATCGATCCTATCCTTCGCAACGTCCACGAGCAAGTCCGTCAAGGCATGCATGGACGCTGCCCTCATCGTCAAACTCCTTTCGGCTTTGGTTTTCCCTTTGGATCTCGATTTCCTCCTTCGCAGGAGGGTGGATTTCCATTTTCTGCAGCCCCATCAGCACCCAGAACGCCTACTGCAGATGAGCTGAAGAGCAAAGTCGAGATTTTGAACGGCATGGGATTCTGGAACAATAGTCGAATTGAAGAGCTGCTTAAAAGATATGACGGGAATGTGGAAAGGGTTGTGGAGGTGTTGCTCAGGGAGTGATGGTTGGCTTGGGTTAGTTCAGATTATATAGTTCTTTTATGTCATGTATCATTGTCATGTTATGTTTTCCTTGTGGAGTATTCAGTTATGCTACGTTTCATTGTTTGCAATAAATAACTACATTGAGTCGTATCAACTTTAATGAGCGCGGACAAACCCCTTGGCAGGCAATGATGGTCGTGACAAAGCCGCGGGCAAGTCCACTCGATCACGCACGTGAGACAGAGCAGTCTCGTCAGGATCTCGCGCATGTTGAAGCTCATCGTCACCATTGTTCGGGCTTTTTCGACCACCAAAGTATTCCGAATACGATTGATGTGTACTCTATCACGCTCATAGAGGGTCCTTGTGATGAACATCTCGGAGCTGCTCACCTCCGATGCGGGCCCAGCCGACTCGAGTCAGCACCACCACTTCATTTCCAACCCGCACCATAGAGACATCCCGACAGAGATCCTGCAGAGTAACTTAGATACTTCTCATACATCTGTCGCGAATGGTGCACGGCAAGAGCAATCCAATTTGGATGACGTTTTGGTAACCCAAGAATCTCGACCTTTGAATAATGGTGCTGCTGGGCGGAGATCCTTAAGGGCCAAGTCGGATTCCCCACCGGCTCCCTCTCCGCAAACTGTACGTCCGCTGTCTCCAAAATATGGCTTTCAGATACGGTTTACTATTGCCGACGAAGACACTGGGGGAAACAACTCAACGTTGCCAGATACTAGCCATGCCGAACCTGAAATTCCTGGCTCCATCCACAAAGGAGAAGTTCACCTTGAACACCGTCAGCCTCCTGCTGCTGCATCCAATCGCGGCAAGTTCCCACATCAGATCCGCAGTGCTTCTCCAAAACGCAGGAAATCCACCGATACAAGTCCTATTAAGGTGGAAATGTGTGCGAATTCCGAACTACCCGAGGACGATGTGGATTTGGTGAGCGGTGCCACACAAGAGGCGGTTAGAGACGGCACAACAACTTTGCGGCGAAATTCAAAGACAATACGACCAAGAAAGAGTGTGAGTTGGGCGTAAAACGTGTTGGACGGTGTTAGAAATATCTTTTGCTCACATGCAAATGTGCCACTAGATGCACGGGGATGCCTTCAACAAGACCTGCTATTGTGGAGGAAAGACTCGGGAAGAGTACGTTACCTACACCCTACGCGAATATACATAGTTTTTTTGAAATATGCGGAATGACATTGCCCTTTGTCATTGTAGAAAGGAAAGACCAATGTTTCAGTGCGGCAATTGTGGAAAGTACTTTCACCAGTGTAAGTGATTGTCTAGATATAGTATCAGCGCTATGCGGATGTCCTTGTGCACTGATTCCTTGATACAGCCTGTATCCAGCTGATTCAACAGTGGAAGCCTGAATTCAAGCCGCTTCTCGGGGATGACTTTTACTTTTACCGCTGTAAGCGATGTTCACATGGGCGAGAAACAATGAAACGACTACCGATGACTTGGTATGATATTGGAGTATTTCCATTTTCCAGTTCGTGCGCCTCCTGACTTGCCCTTTTCACAGGGTGGATGTCATTCATGTCACTCTATTCCATCTTTCTGCAACCGAACCCCCACGGAAAGTCTCACAGGACAAGCTCAAATATTATGGGTGGAAGACAGATATCTGCGCATTCATTGATAGGAATTGGAGCAAATTTTGGCTCAAGAGCCGAACAGCGACTTGGGAGAATACGGTCGCTAGTTGCTTGTCGACACAGAAGAGGTTCCTGCCAGGAACCAAACATTTTGGTCATGACCAAGGTTAGTCCCCTTTTCTGGTGTGCGCAAGTTGGTGTTCCGTTTTCTCAATATTCGTGAACAGGACTGTGGGCCTTAGAGTCGATGGCGCTACCATCTTCCTATGAGCACTCAAAACGCGGGAGGGAGGCAGAGTACGACATCGGGTTGGATGGGGCATTACAGGAACACGAACGGGTGAAACCCAAACGGAAGCGATTAGATCTTGAATCGGACACCGACTCTGTAGTTAGCGGCACCACAGTAAGCTTTTGAATGGCAGATTAGGAAGGTTTAGTACCGTGCTGACAGGGATGCAATGAACTTGACAGAAAGTGAAAAAGTCACGAAATACGGGACGAAGTGTATCTGTGGGAACTCAGGACGGTGCCAACAGGCCACGGCAGAAGAGGCGGCCCAAAAAGAAGAGAATGGAAGAAGAGTACATTGATCCAGCTACTGCGATTGGTTAGTCCATTGCGCTATCCTGTCGCATCGACCTGTTGCCTAATTTCTCGCAGAGCTGTATCCCGATGTCGACAACCCACGAGCTCCAGTACAAATGAGCAATGATACGACACATAGAGCCCCACAGATGACAGTAACTGATGGAGGATATACTGTCTACACGGATAAAGGTTATCGGATGGCTAAGGCTACTCATGGTGTATGGGAAGGTAGCTGGTACTACGAAGTACTGATTAACGAACACCAAGGACATACCAGGTAGGATCTAACGCATAATCATGGAATATGATGGTGAACGATGAGAGTATTGACCTGTGTACGCATGTACCAGAATTGGCTGGTCCCAGATCAGTGGCGATCTCCAGGCACCATGTGGATATGATCGATTCAGTTATGCGTATCGAGATAATCCTGGAACGCTGTTCCACGTTGCAAAGGCTATAGCAGATGCACCTGAAGGGTACGCCGCTGGTTACGGTAAGTACTCGGCAAGACTGAATTCGTAGCAGCACATTACCAATTGTTTTACATGTCGCAGGCCCGGGCGACGTCATTGGCATGTCGATACATCTTCCTCCGTGTGAATCAATGGATGATTTACTTCGAAGGCTTTGGACTCGCGAAAGTCAATACCTACCATTCCGAAGCAAGCCTTTGACGGTAGCGGAAGGAAGCGAGATTATCTATTACAAAAACGGGGAGTGTCTTGGCGTTGCCTTTCGGGATCTGTATCGTGGTAAGTAATGGGTGCACCGTCATGGTGCTGCAAGCTGTATTCTTAACCCATTGGATATGCAGGGAAGTACCATCCTGCTATATCATCGTACAAGGGCGGAAGTGTTACGTTGAACTTTGGCCCAAACTTTCGATACCCACCACCTCCCGGAGTGAGACCGTTCTGTGAAGCTGATAGCCTACCATTATGGGATACTAGCCAAGCAGAATTAGATGAAGAGGGACGCGGCGACAGTATTGAACTTGACGTCAAGGGCGAGATGGAGATTGATACTCCAGGCAATCTTTCTAGTTTGGACGGCGAGGGGGAGGAAGATGAGGGGCCATTTGCTCCAAATTCTTACGAAGTTGGTGAAGTGGAAAGGAAGGTATTTATTCCGGATTCAAATGGGAATGGGGATGGACGCATTGTTACTATGGATGCGGACGAAGTGTCGGGGATCGAAGCCTTGCTAAGTCTTGGGGGAATGTTTGGCGGGACATCCGGAGATTCACCAAAGACTGCAAATGGATATGATAACTTATCTTCGACGCGAGGAAATGAGGACATGCAACACAGGAGAATGGCAGAGAGCGAAGCCAGGCAACATGATGCGCTGTCCGTTGATATTGAAGCCAAAGAAGCGGAGGTGGTTGAGTTAATACGACGGAGTTCTGGTGTAGAGGCATCGACTATACCCCCCATTTCTCCATCTTGCAATGGCAGTGGAGGTGTTGCAATGGAAATTGAAGCAAAGGAAGCAGAGGTAAAGGAAATGATTCGGAGGAGCTCTTTGGGAGAGAATACTATCCAGGCAAAGAATGAAGGCTTTGATCCGATGGATGTCAACGTTCAGGACGTTGGCGTGTCCGAATCTATTTCACGCCTGAAGGAGAAAGAGATGGATGGACACGGATCGACCAGTTTGGTAGTAGAATCAGGGCCTGGCACCCATTCAAACCCTTTGCACGTGGAAGATCCACCAGCGGCCTCCCCTCCGGCACTGGTGACAAAAGCGGATGATGACGAGCCTGTAAATAGTAATGATGGCGGGAATGTACATATGAACATTGGAAATGATGAGAATGTGAAAGAATGAATGCTGGCATTGCACGGAGAAGTAACTATCAAACGGAGGAATGTTTTCTTTTGAATGGGCAGTGGTCAACCCCTGTGAATTGCGCGCGAACGTTGAGAATGGATACTGCTATGGTTTACAGAGATCTGCTTTTTAATACAAACGTACTGCAAGGAACGTACTGCAAGGAACGTACTGCAAAAAACCTACTGCAATAATGCATAATGCATGGCGTTGGGCACTGTATGGCTCTGGTCAATTCCTCCATAGCGTCCACGTGGTCTTGCACAGCCACCATCTGCATTATCGCATGTTGCTAAAAATAGTAAATGCAATATTCCCATATGCAGCAAGTAACCATCCAACGATCAAATGTCATTCCGGTTCTTTTCGAATTGTATTACCATTTCCCCATCTGGAGGTGCGTGGGAAAAAGGGGGCAAAGGGCGAGGAGGTCCCAAAACGACAAGGCTGGGAAAGGAAGGGAGGCGAGAGGCGAGTTTCGACGACGGCCAACGCTTGTTTTTTTCCCTTCAACCAACTTGGGTTTTTTTGACATTTAGTTTTGAGCCAACTTTTATATTCGACCCTGGCCAAAGGGGAAGGACGGAGAAGGATTAGGCGTTGTATATAGTGCTGTGTTTGTTGCTCTTGGAGGTTTCAAACGAACCGTGTGACAAAAGCGACAAAGGCATCGTGTCATTCAGGACGAAGGACTAGAGAGATTGTTTAGCAGAGTGCCTTGGCTATTAACTGCACGAGTAGCCTCGTAGTTTACTTGGTGAGTCCAAGGGCTCCGAAATTGAATTTGTCGTGCGCAAGAGGGTGGCAGACATGGAAGTCTCATCGCTTTCACTTGACTCTGAACAGAGGGACACGTCACGAAACTCTAGTGTTTACTTTGTATATCGCCTGCAATTGATTTGAGCGGGTTTAACCCGGTCCGTCGAAGTTGAATCGCCTTGAAACGTTAACACCAGTCGACGTAGACTAAGGACGACCGTTACTACTTTTCCGTGCCGTATGCGGTTGTCCGCTCCTAGACCAAAACTATTCAACGATGACCACGCTACAGAGAGAGCAGGGGATTACCAAGAAGCGCTCTATCATTTTCCGTCTGGCTAAGGAGACTCAAGGAACTGTGCAAGCGCTCTTTCACTCAGCGAAGAAGGGCAGTACCACTCCCGTTGTGCCAGCCGATGGTAGGGAATCAGGATCGACGTGGGCAACATCGTCAGGGAATGGAACAATTGCCTCTGACACCCCAGATTCGCCTGTCACACCAACGAGTCCTGCTAGCACCGGAAAGGGGCGATTAGGTTTTCTGGGAAAGAAGGCATCGCTGGCCAGTCTTCGGAGAGCTCAATCGGAACCTTCCATTGTTCAACTAGACAAGCGGGCGTCAAAGGTACCAAAGCCTAAAGCGCTCAAAGTCGACCACGAATGTCGGACATCTGATGAAGGCTATGTGGGCTCGGGTGCAGATCTGGGATTGGGTGGAAGCACGAGTGGGAGTGGAAGTACACGGAACAGTGCTGATGAACAAGCGTATCCAAATACGGCACCGGTTATCAAGCGAACCGTAGCCTACGGCGGAATGGTCGGAGCTCCCGTTCACCCCAAACTTCGCCATGAGCGGTCTCATAACCAACTATCGGCTGGTTCGATAGGATCAGTGGCAGGCCGTTCTAAAACTTTCCGCCGAAGCTTCTCAGCCAATTCAATCAAGTTTACGGACGTCGAGGTCGCTCCGAACAGCTTCACAAAGATACGGTTAATCGGAAAAGGAGACGTTGGAAAAGTCTATCTAGTGGTACGTATTTGCCACAAACGTGCACACACTGCTATCAATTACTCACATCTTATTCGGATTGCAGGAGAAGAAGAGCACAGGGAAGCTCTATGCGATGAAAGGTATGTATGATCGCTCTCCATTTCGCGGTTGCTTGGTTGAAATCTCATGTTCCATCGGTAACTGGCAATCAGTACTATCAAAAGCTGAGATGATCAAACGCAATAAGATCAAGCGTGTCCTAGCTGAACAGGAAATTTTGGTACGATGTCAACCGTTATATAGTATCTCAAGTCTATAAGCTCACATGAAGGTCGATAGGCCACGTCAAATCATCCCTTCATTGTAACCTTGTACCATAGCTTCCAAAGCGAGGACTACTTGTATTTCATTATGGAGTACTGCTGTGGAGGAGAATTTTTTCGGTGAGTGGCTAGATCATGGAACCATAGCGTAAAAAAGGCTAACCATTTATCGTTTAGCGCGCTCCAAACATTGGAAACCAAATCCTTACCGGAAAAGGATGCCCGCTTCTACGCTGCGGAAGTAATATGCGCAATAGAATACCTCCATCTCATGGGCTTTATATACCGAGATTTAAAGCCTGAGAGTAAGTTGATATGCATCACTCTATTCACATCTGTGATGAAGCTTTAACAGACCTAAAATGAACATAGACATCCTCTTGCATCATACTGGACATATTATGCTGACGGACTTTGATCTATCAAAGCCTTCGGCAGAACCTGGTGATCCCGGAATTGTGAAGAGCAATACCTTTTCGGTTAGTGCTTTGATGTTGGCTGGTCGCTTGATCTGGCAACAACTAATGGCTTTCCATAGTTCCAACTGTCTAGTTCCCCAGCCATCGATACCAAATCATGTACAGCCAACTTGAGGACGAACTCTTTCGTGGGAACTGAAGAGTACATTGCGCCAGAGGTGATCAAGGGATGCGGCCACACGAGCGCTGTCGATTGGTGGACCCTGGGCATTCTGATATATGAGATGCTTGTAAGTACCATCGTTGCTCGGTGACTTCTCATGCGTGATTCACATTGATTTCCGTGCACAGTACGGTACAACCCCTTTCAAGGGACAAAACCGCAATAACACCTTCACCAACATCATTTATAATGACGTTGCCTTCCCGGCGGAACCACCGGTGTCCCCTTCATGCAAGCAGCTCATTCGAAAGCTTCTCCACAAAGATGAAGAGAAGCGCCTCGGGTCCCGTGCTGGGGCATCAGATGTCAAAGCCCATCCCTTTTTCAAAGGCGTCAACTGGGCTCTCTTACGACACGAGAAGAATCCGCCGATTGTACCCAAGATTCACGATCCAACCGACACAAGCAATTTCCGGCCGTTGGAGGATAGCATCGATTTGGATTTGGAGATGGAGGGAAGGAGGGTGATACTCGGGTCTGACTTGGTAAATGACCCCACGCAAAACGGATCTCGACGGGGAGCAGGGCGGAATGGCGCACGAGCTGCGAACCCATTCCGGGATTTCGAATCTGGTGAGTATAGTGTGCATTAATACTGTAATGAGGGTGTGACTGACCGTCGGAAATTGTTTAGTGACACTTCATCACGCACACATGGTCGAATGAGTTCAGTACCAAATAGGTGACCGCATGTACATCATTCCACATGCTGTCATCGATACATGTGTCTTTGTTAAGGGATATTTAGTGCCAGTTTACTGCAGTCAGCACTGGTTCTCTAGTCACTTGGACAGAAGCCCAAAGAAGGGTGTGATTTCTGCTGCGACAGTACATAGTATGTGTTAGTAGTTGCTAGGGTATATGTAGCTTTTGGATTGGTAGCAGCTTTCTTGTTTCTTCTTTTTTAATACTTGAAAATATCATTCTCGTTACCGCATTACAATTATACAATGCATTCGGATGGCAACAGCGATTGCCTTGGCTCGCCCCATGTTGCCAACGTTGAAAACCTCTGCATTCTAGCGCAAATGTCGGAAGCGAAGTGTAGGCCCTGATTTTCTATGGAACCAATGCAACCCCTTCCAATCGGTTGTTTGGTGGCGGATTGTGTTTTGATCTGTTGACATATGAACCGTCTTCAACTTTTGATTCTAATGCGAATTTCCAAGTTCATATCTAGCATCTACAGCATCCTTTTTGGATATTCATTTCGTTCAAATGCATCCTTTTTGTCCTTTACCATTTTCAACCTGTAGAGTACGTAGTGTAGAGGTGACAGAAACTGGCACTAGCTACTACACCAGGGAATAAACCGGCGACAACCGGTTCGGAAAAGCTAACTAAGCTACTACTAGGCAATTATACACGCAATACGTAACGGTTGGTTCTAACCGGATAATTGCCCACCACCACACGCGGTCCCTACTAGGCCTTGATCTGGAACTCTTGATGGCATTGAAGCCAGACTCTTGCATCCAGGAGCGAATCGACTGGGCAGCGTCACAAGCCAGAGGATGTTCAGTGACAAGGCTTGGAGACTAGAGAAAATGCATGTCAGAAGATGACCCGATGACAAGAAATAAAATGATGCAATCAGTACATACCAACCAAGCTCAACCAATGTGGCAGCATAATAGTAGGTTTTGTTATCGGATCCGATTGGTTGCCGCTGGTTCTGATCACGGTTGCTGTCGGGCGGTCGAGGTCCTCGGCACCAGAGCAGTATTCTCATGATTGGACTGAGACTTGTTGGGTGGATGCTTTGAGTCGAGGATGGGTAAAGAGGAAAGAGGGAAGAGGGAGCAGGTCCCCCGTTTATAGACCTTTGGCATGCGCCTCACCGCAGTTTAAAAAAAAAGCTACATTAGCATGCCACACCGCAGTTTGGAGAACATTAGCATCCATGCCTCCTCACCGCTTTGAGCAATGATGGGGGTTCTGATTATGCGATATGATTAACCGGATTAATCCGGATAATAATGGGTCCTAGTGCCATTTTCAATCACCTCCACACTATGATATTTTTGAATCCAAAAGGGCAGGAACGAATCAGGGCTTCTCCTCGAGCGGTAAGTGCTTAGTCACTGCTTACGTAACACACGACGCAACTTGTGACACTTTCATTTGAGGATTCTACAAAGCAAAATTCCCACGCTCCGGTTGACGGTCAGCGTTTTTCAAGAGCATTTTAAACATTTCTTTTTCACGGTGGACGTTTTCGTCTGTTTTGGAGAGGGTTACAAACCCACTTGGCTCTTGGGAACTTACCTAGGCAGCATTGGTTGCGGCCGTTGCTTCCGTCAGGATGCCCTTTTGGAGTAGGAACAAGAAGAGGAGAGCGAGGACGCCTCCTCCTAACCTGCAAACGCCGCCTGGACAGCACCACTCTCCTTCCGCACTGTCCTTCTTTGGCTTTAGAAAGCGGAGTCCTTCGCCGTTTACCGCACTCCGTTCTCGTGATTCTCCCTCGTCTCCAGAGTCTGGTGGACATGGAGGCAGTGCCAGAGATCTACCCTACCACCCACACCACTACAGCGAGGGATTCCTTTCTCCACCAGACCGGCGCTTTAACTTTGAATTAGAATATGATAGAGCGGCCGCCGAAGCTGCTTCTGACAAGCGTGCTCCTCGGGTACCCTCAAAGGCCCATGAGAGCGTGTCAAACAAGCCGGCAACGACACCGGTCGTCGTTGTCACGTCAACAGGACCGTCGTGCGTAATACAGTGCGATCGTCACAAGACTGTGCAGTGGGCGTTAGAGAAGGCTAGTACATTGCTTCCAAAGGACCACTCGGAGTTGGTGGAGGCTAGAGGACCTGATGGGAAGAAGGCTCTGGGAAGCGAGAGAGTTTTGGATTTTTGTGGAGTCAATAAAGTGAGTGTTGACTGGAAGAATCGCTATACATATATATATGATCAGGCAGTTCTGGTAATGTTGCATATATGGATACTGATAAACTTCATTTGACGGTGTGTGTAGATTCTCGTAGTTACAGTGGCGACTCCCGAATTCAATCGACGTGCTAGTGTAGACTCGCCTGGTGGATATATAAGCGCCCGGGACGGTCGCGAAGCTTTTGATTTTGAAGATTTGCGACGCAGCTCAAAATTGGATCGAGAGGAGCGTCATTCGAGACGGCTTGCCTTGGTCGGATCGAAGGGCCGTCGGGATGCGGACGTCTCTTCGCGAACCCTTTTACCAGAGTCGCGCGAACAAAGTTTCGATGCTGGCATCGAGGCTGACATTCTTGCAGGCCATCCTTCGCGTATGCCCAGACCTGTCAGTCCCAGGTTCGATCGTGCTGCTACCCCCTCTCCTCTACCGTTTGAAGGACGTCGCTCAAGTAGGGACGAACGTGCAAGCCGGCCTAGTCGTGATGACTATGCTGAAAGGCGCGGCAGCAGAAATAGCAGGGAGGAAAGGTCAAGTAGAGATAGTCAAGATGACCGAGCAAGTCGCACTAGTCGAGATGAGAGCAGAAGCAGTCGCGAGTTTGGTCGAGCGCGTTCTCCTGTTCGGTCATCCTCTCGTCTTTCGGGACTTGACAGTGTCATGGAGGACTTGGCGAAAATGGCTGATCATGAAGGGGGTTGGGTTTCTGCTGTGAGCCCAAATCAACGTATCAGCCATGGAGATCCTTCTTCAGGTCGTGCTGGTCGTGTATTAGAGGACCAGAAAATGGTGCATGAAGCCGAGAGCTACTCCTCTCTGGCTGCACCAGCTGCCGAGGTAAGCGGCTCACAGCGATCCCAATCCCCGCTCCCGAGGCTCCTTACGCAGCCGTTGCGAAGATCTCCATCTGAGTCATCATCTTTGCTTGCGCAGGAGAGCCCTGTCTCTAGGAATCCGCTGAATCGGCACGACGTTGATCGACGCTTGACGGAGATTTTGACCTCTGGTATGCACATGAACATCAAAATATAGCGAGTAATATTGTATTTACAGTTATGTCCTGGTTAGTTGGAATGGAGATCGATGATGCCCTGAACGAATTATCCCTTGGAGATGGTAAGGCTGGGTACTGCTTTACACGGGTATGATTGCACGGTTAACAGTACATGCAGAACGCACAGACTCAGAACCACCCTCCCCACCGCCAACATCTCCCGTTGATGAGCTTCCGGACTTTGATGATGTGTCGGATGATAGCTCGTCGCGACGCTCTGTTCGAAAATCCCGCCGCTTGACGCGAATATCGCGTGCATCGGCTCTCGATATTTTTGCAGCGTTAGGTATGAACGCCGAATATCTGAATGTGACATTGAGCAGAAAGGCTGATGTGTATTCAACGTATGATGCAGAGCAACAAGCGAAGGAAGAGCCTACACCGGACCTAGATACTCCCATGCTTGCCCTACCGGTTTCCGATACCGCTTCCCGGAGAGTGAGTCGCATTTCGCGAGCTTCCGCGCTTGACATGTTCTCCAGTATGCGCAGCTCGAGCAGGTCAGATGATGGGGAAGACGAAGGATATGAACAAGTGGAACGAGAAGAACTAATAGATGCGGAACCTCGCTTGTCTTCCGTTGATGTACCTAATCCTACACCAGCACCAGCTCCGCCACCTCCTCCATCTGATAGTGTTGTTCCGTCTGCATTGGTTACAACAGCCCCAGCTGCCCCAACGCTGCCAGTGACGAGTACGGAGGCAAAAGCGGGGCCACCTCCACCACCACCGCTCCCACCGGTGATGGTTTTCGAAGAGTCAGCAATTCCTCCTCCACCTCCACCTCCACCTGTGATGACTTTTGAACCCTCCGCGATCCCGCCGCCGCCGCCCCCACCACCTGTCATGGTTTTTGAAGACTCTTCAATACCGCCCCCACCACCACCACCACCTGTCATGGTGTTTGAAAACTCGCCAATTCCGCCCCCTCCTCCACCACCTCCGCCCATGATATTTGAGAATGCCGGCAGCATACCTCCACCGCCGCCGCCTCCACCGCCCCCTCCTCCAGCTCTTGGGATCCCTCCGCCACCTCCTCCTCCACCTCCACCTCCCGGTGCAGGCCCCCCACCACCACCCCCGCCCCCTCCACCAGGCGGTGGGCCACCACCTCCACCACCGCCGCCATCAACAGCTGCGCCCGCATCCGCAGGAGACCTTCAATCTGCATTTTTGGCAGAGCTGCGAGATCCTAATAGAAGAAAAAAGCTTCGGAAGGTCAAAGTACCAGAGAGACCTCCTCCATCGGAAGCGGACAAAGCAGCGCAGGAGGCAAAGCAGAAGGAAGCGGAGAAGGGTAATGACGAAGCGGAGCGGCAGGAGCTGTATATTGAGCTTCTAGGCTACATGGAAGCACCGAATGGGAATATTGAGGAGCTCTCAGACAAAGCAAAGACTCAAACGAATTTAGTGCGAAGCTTTGTGTTCACTTTAATCCGCAAGGGATGGGTCCGTGGGTATCGGGTCACTGACAATCTGCCAGAGGAAAAGGAGACCAAGGGCCCCAAAGGGAAGTCCAAAGGTCGCGCGCCATTGAAGGTGTGGCTGGGACGAGAGGGCATGATGTGCATCGAGCTGGAAGATTTAACGGGCGAAGAGCTGGTTGCCAAAGTTGGTGGCGAGAAAGCAGACCCACTTTCTATGCCAAATGATGATGGAAATGTGGTCAAACGCAAAGGCGAAGTGGCCCGTGTATACATGTATCGATTTGACGAGAAGTCAAAGCAACACGTCTTGGATGAAGTCGCGCTGGTCGCCACAGGATCGTTCCCCAAAAAAACCAAGCGCTTTGATGACCCCGAACCACCCCAGGACTCGAGCTTGCATAATAGACGGAAATGGGAAGCGTGGAATGAAAAGAAACTTCAGTACCTGCAGAGTGACTGGCCGCAATTTGAGTTGATTTTCAACAAACTGGTGAGTGCCACCTGTCTTCTGCCTGAAAAAAAGTACACTGGCGCTTATTGTGTCCAATCACGTAGATGGCTACATCGTCTATTGTACAGTCCATTCACCATCAGCTCCATCAAACACTTGCTGAAATGCGGGCTATGGGTGAAGCCATGCATGACACATTTGCAGCGTTCCCTGTGACGCAAGTGCGCCGAATCGTAGAGTCCATACCGGGGCGGATCAAGGAAGTTGCAAAGAAGCTTCAGAAGCAGACTGGCATCATCATTCGCGATGAGTCTTTGAAGTTGACTCCGGAATTCCTGCGCTTGATGAATTTGGCACCTGATGGTACTGATAAGCAAGACACGGCGACTGGTCCTGGCATTGGCGGGGCTCCGATATCCGAAACGCCATCTAACCCAATGGCGCGACCTGCCACCTTAGTTCATTCCCAGACTGCCCCGTCCTTGTCCACTGCGGCTGAACCAAACGCGACAGGTGAACAGTCGGGGAGTGCGAATATGCTCAATCCAAAGGGCATGATTACGATGGCGGGACTTCCCTTTGACGTCCTTCTCCCGTTGTTGAAGAAGTCCTTCAACAAGCAGGAGATTGGCGATGACAGGTTGTCGAGGCGTTTGACGCTATAACCCTATTTCGTGTGTGCTTTATCTGTGAGGTTTATTAGATGGAACGTTTTTTGGGCTCTAGAACTGCAATTGCTATTGCCACATAGACTTTTTTCTTTTTGTTACATACTATTGTTTCATCATTTTTAAATAATACTGTGCTAATCGGGGTGTTTCGTACTTTCGAACCTTCTTCTTCAAGCACCCTCATCTCTGTCAGCATGGCCAACTACATGACAAAAAGATGCTGAGGCCACCCAACAAAAACCGGTTTCACCATATGAAAGAAGAACTGAGGCGCGTTTGGATCTCCAGTCAAACAAGCTTTGGGAGTGATGTTTGGAGCCTAGCTCGTGCTTTTAGTCTGGCTTCCGTAATCTCATGCTTGCTAAACAGGACCATCGTTCCCAGGACAGGACACGAACATAAAATCCGGAGCCTGTAATCGATAGTTGGGTTTGGGGATTAACTCACAGGAGTAGCTTGAAGCACGTGCCTAAATAAATTAAAAACAAAAATTCCCTTCGGAGCCAATGAAGCACGAAGCCACTCTCAAGCAAGTTTTATATATTTTTCCTATTGAGTGACTGTGCCATGGCTTCCCCGTTTTATTTAACAAGAAAATTCGGGGGGAAACGATCAGATTGGATAAGCCAGGGCCGCTCGGGATGTATATATCCAAGTTATCCCTCGTTTACCACCGTTTGGTCGACATCTGAGACTCGCCATGGAGGAGCTTTCCGACTGGCATGGCGAGCAGAGTAAACCATTGCTGCTCACGCTCATAGCAAGGCAAGATGTGAGCGGCAGGAGGGAGCCAACAACGTATACGGATACTCAGGTGGTCGATTTGAACTTGCGGGTCGCTGCTATGACTCTGATGTGTGGTGAGGAGGCCTCTGGTCCTTTGATCGTATCAAATTTAGTATTCACAGGGGGATATGTCATCTAGTCAACATTGCAGTCTACTTTATCGCCTTCAAGAATAGATCGTCCCTTGTCAGCCGTCTCATTCTCGTCTTCCTCCTTGCTCAAATCAGTGGTGTCATTGTTCAAGCAATTCCAAAGTTTCAACAAACAAAAAAGTGAGTTTTTCCATACCAAGTTGTGATTGGATCAAGGTGCTGACTCTAACGTGGCACCCTTTCACAGTGATGTACTTACCATCTACATTGGTATCTTCCTCCTGTTGCTCGCTTCTGAAACGTTCAATTGGGTTCTCTACGTGAGATTCAACCTCGTGGCTCCCTTCAATCGCAAGTTGAGATTGATCACGCTGACCTGGCTGTGCATCGAGACGCTATGTATTACTGGCAACTACCTCTTATGGTGTTATGGCGTCGCCTCGGGCAAGGGGGAATACAGAGTTTTATCTGCAAAGATATACTCTGGATTGAGCGTGATCCAAGCGGCCAGTGCTTTGGTCATGTCTGGATGTGAGTATCGGCCTTTTTTCAGAACCACACTCGAAGATGTTATGGCTCATTGTCAACAATCCAGATTTTGTTAGCATCTACTACTTTCCCAAACTGCTCCGGTTGCGATCGACATCGACCACCAAAATCGTCTTTTCCCGCTTCTTCACGGGCGGGCTCCTCTATCTCGCATTAGAATGTGTTCTTCATCTGGGTTACACAGTGCTTTTCTACATTACACCCGAGCATCAAACATCCGCAAATTCAGTCACAACGGCCGTCAGATACGCAATCTTCCTCGTATTCATCTTCCAGATCCGAAATGCAACCGCAGAAAGTTCACTGGGCGATGACGAATCTGGAACAGCTGATGTCACTATGAATTTTTTTCGCACAGCAGCAGTAAAAGATGATGGATTCTCGGATGGTCCGATTTTTCATGGGCATTATACACCACCAAAGTTACCTCAAAAAACCTTTTCGAGCGTGATGTATGCGTACCGCTCCGATTTTTCCCCCGATGATGGTGCACAGGAAGTGTCAATAGGTTACGTGCCATCGAAACAAGCTGAAGTTCAATACGCCGACGTCCACACTGTCCGTCAACATTCTGCAGAGATTGATGATTCAAGTTCGCAGTCATCCTCCAGTCCGCGACAGTCAATGTATGCAGGATCCATTATGTCACCTCCACCAGAGGGAGGCGTGGAATGGCCTGGAAAATATGTGTTGGGAAAGAGATATTCGAGTTCGGTTGATACAATTTGATCACCACGAGCTTCAGTATTCATAAGCCGCAGAAGGTTGTTGTCGGCAATGTACAGTATGGTAGCGTTGTTATGGTTCTAGTGTATATATGTATATATGTGTGGAGTTTGTTGAGTAGTGGTTTGATGGAGTATGAGACGATCCAAGTATGCAGGCATGGTTGGGCAGACATATATTGGGATTGCATCAAAAAAGTGCATCTTTTGAAATGTAATTAAGAAACTCAAAAGTCTCACAGTGGCACGACTGCTTCCGTATAGTACTCTCTACCGCCCCCCCCCCCCCATGTCATACTAGATTTCCTCCGTGTAATTGCTGGGGGAAAAAGTTTTGGTGAGCGTGCCTGAATATGAACGGGGTGCAATTGTGAGGTGCGTAAACTCAGGCAGCTTACCCTGGTATAAAGCCTTCCAAGTTGCCGTCTGGTCGATGTACACGCGCCTTCCACCATCTACAGGCACACAGTGTCAAACGTTGCAATGGTGATAAGCAAAAGGTTCTTTTGTACAAACCCATCGTCCTGCTTCTCCAATACATCCACCTCTTCCCCTGCCTTGACACATAGTTCATTATTGTCCGCATTTCCCTCAAAATCATACATTAGCTTCACTCGACAAATCACAGAGGTATTGCCGTCATGATTGCTGTCATGATCGTGTGAAGATGCCAATTGGTGGGAGCTGCCATGATGCGACCTCTCTTCAACTTCTGTCGCACGAGGGCTTTCAACAATAGATGATTGTGGAATCAATCCACCGGACGATCCTTCGCTCTTTGTAGTATGCACGCTCAATGGTCTTGCGGCACTCACAGGCGTGCCACTTCCGACGCTCGATGAATCAGAAAAGGGCGTCAAAGGACTTGATTGACCTTGTCCATAAGCCTTTCCTCCAATTTGAACCGCCGGTGGGTCGGGGGGTGCTACTCCGTCCAATGTGGAGATGTACACTTGCAATTTATGCTTCTTGTGCAAAATGAGGGCTATTCGCTGATCCAATGCCTGATGCTGGTCATCCAAATCGCGCTGCACTTTCGGGTCTTTGGCAATCTCAGGTTTCGAAGCGTATACAGCCATGAGCGTGTCCACACCTGTTCGTTTCTTTTCCACCTCTGCAAGCTCCTTGTCGAGGACTTTGATTCTCTCTAAAGCTTTCTTTCTACCCTGCTTCCCAGGCAGGACCACAATGGCATCCTCCTTGTTATCATCTATCTCATCCCGCGTTTTCGTGAAACCTCTCGTCGACGTCTTCTTGTTGAGATTCGAAGTTGCCAAAGCTCGCTCTTCAAATGTGAAATCAGCTGGATAAGGTGAATGTGTTTGTGTCATTTTGATAAATGTTGCGGAGTCATAGGAGGGGGTGATTTTTTCAAACATGTCGACCATATTCTCGAGAGCGGTGGTGAGACTCGGCATTTGGGAAGCGAGGAGACCTGAATACTTTAGAAAGGCATTTTTCGAAAAATCTATACGGTTTTGCTCGTCTTTCGATTGGATGATCTGTGAGCGTTAGAAGGTGACGTGATGTAAGTTTGCTTTGCGAGTCGATGTCCAACCTAAGGAGGCGGGCTTACATTAAGGACACTTGGAATGGTCTCTGTATAATACTTTTCTTTGGCGATATTTGTTTGCTCTAAAAGCACATATGGAGCCGCCGTTAGAAACCGCCAACAAAAAGCTTCAGACAAAAGGAACCCACCAATGCACTGCTTATATCCTGTCGCTGCCTCCTGCGCAAGCATTGCCTTCTTTTCCGCTTCGGTTCGCAACTATTGGAAAGATTTAACATCATAAACTTTAAGAAGTAGCACGATCCAAACCGCCACACCTTTTCAATATCCTTCGCCGTCTTATTCATATCCTGATTTGCACTCTCATAGGCCTGTCTCGCGGCATCCATGTCCTTTGTCGCCTTGTCATACTTTTGTCGAGTCTTTTCGAGGTTGTCAACTACTTTGCGATAGTCCAGCGTATATTTACGAAGGTCGTCGAAATGCTATGCATAACGGATGCAGATGAGACCTACGAATAATAGGAAACTGACGGAGCATACACACCTGTTTAAACACTTTGTCGTTCTCTTTAATTTGGTTTTTGATGCTTTTTCTCAAATCAGTGTCCATGTTTTCTGCCATACTGGTGTGGAATGTTGCTGTATGTTCGGTCATTGTGAGGAGTTGAAGCCAACTTTGGGCCACCGTACTACACATTCAATCGTCAAATCTGCGATTCCCGACTCCCAAACCAAAAATTCAAAGAACAAGAAAAAGCCAGGGGACACATACCCACTTAGAACGGCCACCCCCAACCCTTTGTTACCACTGCCCTGCCCCTCCTTTTTATTCAACTCCTCCTTGTGCGCTTTGACCAGTTTTTGCAACGACCGCGCATAATCGGCCTCGATTTCGGCTCGGCGTTTAAGGAATTCATTGAAGCGTTCCAGGGATTGCGTTCCGATTTTCGTATAGGCTTCGACATTCTCCAGCTGATCCTATATTGAAATTGCGGTATTTGTAGCTGATAACTTGGATTTTCTCACGAGGTGATACGTACCCACAGCGTTAGACCAAAGTTTGGTTGGTCATCCATCGTCTGGTGTAAAGAGGTTACGAGGATGGCAGATGAGAGAAATAGAATGCAGACAGTTGAACAGTAAGGGATATCGAATCTCTGCAGATGCGCCAACAAGTTACCCGAATTTCGACTTTTACGAACCACCCAAGCACTTTATCAGGAGGTTTCGGATAACGCTCCTTTCTCGCGAATCACGCATCGGACAATTTCTGGTCACCGCATAATGCATTGCCCTAAAAATATCACAACATTCTCGAAACTGAGGGCTACATTAGGGTGCCGGTTTATCGACACGCGCGTTCTGAACATGAGCCAGTTCTCAACCAAACAGTATAGGAGCATTGATACACAAGAGATAAAAATACATTATGCTACAAAATGAGAATCCCATGGACCAGTCCGTCCGTTTTCCCCCTCACTGCATTGGAGAGCAAGGATCTATCCCAGCCGAATTACCGGTGTCCTGAGAAGGTAAAGAGAAAGTATAAGTGATCATATGGAGACTTTTCCGAAGGATTGTGTATAAATGCTGATGCGAGGAATGGGGCGACGCATCCAGTATTTAGAGAGAGAGAGAAGTCGGAGGGAAGACAAAAAGGGATTCGGGAGATGAGTACCATGGTGCCGACACAAGTCAATCTCCGTCAAGAAAAACCACGATAGTTTATTCTATAAAGACGGGGAAGCAAAGGAACCATTGATACACCTTACTTTCCCATGAACCAACATTATGATAATTCCAACCTCTTTCTCTCTCTCCGTCGATTGGATCACCCCAACCTCGCAGTCCGCAACCGCTCCAAGGGCGGTGATGAATGCGCGGTAGATCCCTTACCCCATCGTGAGACAGATTCAGCAACTTCACGCAGAAAGCTATATGAGCGAAAATAATAACAGTTCCGGTCAGGCCATGGATATTCAGGACGATGATCACAGACGAACACATTTCACCCATACCTTTGTGAGTTATGCACGGTAGTGCCTCCAAGTACGATTCTCACTCCAGGGTTGCTCGCATTTAGTTTAGCTACTTCATGTGCCTCCGCATATGTGGCACCACCAATCATAAACACAATAATATCTTGAGGTCTAATCCCATATGAAATTTATCAGCGACTGTCTTCCAAGCAGATTCCAAAACAATAAAGATTCAAGTTACTCACTTATCCCGTGTGCTGCCCTCGATCAATGGATATAGTTGATCCTTTAGGCGGCCTTTGATACAATCTTGGATGGTTTCGACGAGATGGGGTGAATGTTGCGTGTACACGTTTTCAACGCCCTTCGTGGTGTGAATGAGTCACCGAGCGACAATACACAATGAGAAAGGTTCTTACCTGGAGACCTTTGAAGACATTCTTTGTGCGTGCAAACACATTCTGATTTGAAAAGAGGTCTTCAAGACGTTGATCTGTTCCCGCAAACTGTATGAGGTGACCAACCACCTAAGACATCATAATGATCTTGTTGGTTGGCTGCTGGAATTCATGTTCAGTAATCTACACATACCGCAATCTTCTTGTCGCTCACTCCGCTTCGGGCTAATAGATCGAGCAACTGCGGGGTAGCATTACTCTGTGACTTCTCGTATCGCAACGCGTAGAGCAGAACTAGGCGAATTCGTGCATCGTCAGGTATATCGGTACGCTCGAGCATAGAACGTAAAACCTTTGCAATTGTTCGTTAAAACTGCTCTGCAGTTTTGAGCTTTCTGGTCCATCCGACCAACCTTCAAGTCTTGGGCATGGTTATCGTTGACAGCCAAGCTCTGCTCCAATTCGCCTACTTCCATCAAATGTTGCCGGCTAACTTGTCTACTGAGCTCTCCCACCAACGTAACATGCTTCGTTACGTTTCCAGAGAGCTTTCGAAATTCTGGGTAGTCCTCCACAAACTTCTTCATATCTGCGATAGAGTTGATTTCGGCAGACGACTTATGCTTGGTTTGGTACTCGTCCACGTAGGTTTTAATGTTGCCACCTAGATCCCCCAAATTGAGATACATGCTTTTTCGGTAAAAGCTGTCCTGTTCTGGATTTAGAACCACTTCCTGATGACGTGAGAGAGGTGAACAAACAAGCTAACACAGGTGATCAGATGAAGGTTGCCATTCCGGTACCTTCATTTCTGGACGGACATCCGGTAGACCTGACAAGTCGACCCTCCCATTGCTGATCCCAATTAGTTCGTGCACCATTGCTTGATAGGTCCATTGGAGCAGCAAGGGAGTAACAGGATCGTTGCGGCGGTCCATGATGAGAAGAATAGGAGGGGTATCTGGTCTTCGGAAGTCGAACAGAGGTCCTTCCTGCTGTATTTGATACTTATTCCAAAAGAACGTCAGATCTTCTACACATCTTGCGCTCATAAAATTCACATACCGCTAGCTCCCCTGCCAATTTCTTTGCCAGTGCTGAACTCTTCTCATATCGTATTAGCGGCTTCTTTTTTAGCGCTAAAAGTAGCGCCAAAATTCCCTCCGTGGTGCGAGAAAACGTTCGGGTATCCCAAGTATTGAGGTTTTCGACAAAAAGTGGATTCTGCGGAGCCGCCAAGTTGAGAGAAAAGAGGTCTGCATTGATAGATAGGAAGTCCGCATAGTACTCCTGAAGATAAATGCCATGAAGTAATTTGCCTATGTTCGGGTATATTAGCGCGCCATAGTGAACGCACCTGCACTTCTCGCACGACTTCGTGCTCATCAACTTCCGCTAGCCGCTCGATATCCGATTTTCGCAAAGTATTGCTGAAATCTGTGTCACAGATCTAGCGTCAGAAGCATGTCAAGGGCATCCCAGCAGACTCAACCTCCTTATCTCCAAGCATTCTTCTTCAACAGTCCAGGCTGTACTCACACAAGTAATAATCTCCATACCGTGGCTCCCTCAATTCCTCCACCAATGCCTGAACTGACTCCCCGGTCGGCCTCAAAAAGCAAATACATCGCAGATGCCGCATTTTCTCTCGCTGACGGTTATCTATCCGGTCGATAAGATAAACTTCGCGTTGGAGGAGCTGCGTTTGAGTCATGACCATTGATATTATGGAAGTCTATGGATAGAGAAGATATGGACGTAAGCGTCGGGACGACAAGTATTTCTTTGGACCCAGCTGAAGGTACATACTGTCTCGGCATCCATAAGTAACACTTTCATCCCTGTAACCTCATTTATCATTTTGTTGAGGTAATTCTGTTGTGTGAAGACGATGATAATCAGCACCACAATTACAATATTATATATGATTGGCTATGAAGAACCTGACCTGGACCGCCTTTATTACGTCCATTTTGACCGGCTTCTCAAATGTAGAATGGGAGGAGTGTACTGACCGCGGGCAATTTTACACGGTTCTCCGCGGCGTACAAAGGCACGTCGGTGTCGAGAGCCACCGGGGAAGAAGGTAGTTTTCAAAGATACCGGTATCTAATCGCTATTATCGCCCGAAAATGAGCTTTGGTTTCGCAGATGCACAATGGGTTGTAGGATTTGCAAAGACTAGTTGGCCGCCCCAACGCGTTGTCGGAGCTGTTCCCACTCACGTGCGTCCTCGATGCTCTGCCATCAAGTTGGCAATCCAAAGCACTTCAAATTATTTTTAACAGGATGAACGGATGCCATCCACGATAGCAATTTGGGAAGCATTATTTCCTTCTAAGCTAGCTAGACTAAACACCTGCATGGCAACGAGTCCGCCCAAAGAGAGGACGCTACTGTAAATGCCTATCTTGCATGTGCACAATTACATAGTGCCAATATCATTTATTCGCAATTCGGACCCCGTTCACATCACATGGCGATTCCTCCCTATTTGGATCATCGGGTTTCTTCCTCAAACCGCTCAGACCTGCTTGCAGATTAGGATCCTTCGACTCCATAATTGTCGTCAGCAAGGCCTTTTCAATAATTTCCAATTCCCTCACCCTCGTTTCTAACCATTCTCTACGTCCCCTAAATTTACGCTCCACTTGCACCTCCACTTCAAGCTCTCTTACTCTATTTTCCAAGTACTCGTTCCTATCGATCAGCGCGCTCAAATCTCCGGCGGACACCATCGTTCCTTTTGCCACGCTAACTGGTGGTGGAACGGGGAGGCTTGATAAACTCGACGTGGGAGTTCCGGTGGGAGAAGCGGTCAAGGACGAATCTGCCGACCTTTCTGCTCCTATGCGAGAGACATTAATAGCCGGTTCTCCGGGCTTATGATACATATGAAAGTGATGCGTTGACGCTGTCGGGCTCCGGACCGCGGATGTTGCCGCTGGTGATGTGACTGGCATAGACGGAGGTGGATACATTCCAAAAGGTAGAGCTGCGGTAAGAAATGGAGGAGGGTATGGATAGTGAGTCTGCGTGGGAGGTGTTCCGGGTGCATCAGTCAATGTCCCTGCAAATGGCTGCCCAAAAAACGCCATATTAGAATTCAAGCGCATTGAGCTATCGTGCACAGAATCATTAATACAAAATGAAGCTACGTACCGAGCCGACACTGGCCGCTGAAGAATCATCCTTAGCCTTGACCTGCGTTCCCATGCTCGTCAATCGCGAGATCCGGCCAAAGCTGTTCAGCCCACAACAAGGGGCTGATGATCCTTCTACCCGCATGTGGCGGTTCAATGCATCGAGGCGAGAGAAATCGCGATGACAATGGGGGCATTTGTATGGTTTTACTCCATCATGAAGACGCTGATGTCTCTTTAGATCGTGCTGGCGAGAGAAGGCCTGACTGCAAACATCGCAGGTGAAAGGACGCTCGCGACTGTGAACGAATGAGTGCGACTTCAGATTATGTTGTCGTGAGAAGGTTTGATCGCATTTGTCGCAGGCGTAGGGTTTGTCGGGAGTGGCGTGAGGAAGGAGAGGAAGATGCGGACCGTCCATAGAGTCCAAGGTCACAACGTTGTTGCTCAGCGATGTGGTATTCCCGCCCTCATCTGGGTGTCCTCTGTCGTTGGTTTGCCTCTCAGCTGACAATTCTTGCTGGGCTGCATGAGCCGCATGCGCTGCGTGAGCTGCCGCCGCTGCCGCCTGCATTGCATGCATCGCAGCGACCGCGGCTGGACCTTGAGTCGACTTCGAGTTGTCTGGGAGTGTGATGATATCTGTGCTCATACCTTAAATTGGAAAAGACGAACCATAGTGTTAGAGACATGGCCGAGTCTTTGAGAGCAGGTAGATCGGCGGTGCAGAGATGCTGGAGAAAGTCTGACGTGCATATCTTATTCACGCCTCCGCCGCGAACGCCTCAACTCGCCCACACCAGCCCGTGGCGGGGGTCGGCACCCACCTGGTAAGATCGGAGGATGGAGGCTCAACGTCCAGCAAGACCAAAATTCTCCTACGTGACACTCCACTGTGATTCCGATTCTGGCTGAATCGCCGCTTCTGGTGAGTATGCAAAGGTCGAATGCAGACAGTGCGGCCGACGTTGACAGTTTGCCAGGAGGCCGAACAAACGCGTGCAGTAGCTTGCCTAACGCGACTTCGAAAGTGGCGGATCGCCACAGTGGCCACCAATGATCGAGGACTTGCGCCACGATGAGCATTAGGTAATACACTCCGATCTCCTTTTCTGCTTCAACGATCTAGCTACATCTTGAGATAGAGCATATTAGTCGAAATAATTATGAGCATCTCTTAATTTAGGTCTGAATCACCAATGTCATGTGAAAAGACTCAGAGCTGCTGATGATACAAGCATAGACTTTGCGGAATATTCATACAGCAATGTAGACGTTTCCGAAACAGCGGCCAATCTGCCGAGTTTAGTTTTTGAACACCAAGCAACGACGGAATATTTACCAGCGATGTAAATATGGGAAGGTAAAGCATGTAGGCGGATAGCACCCAAAGGACCTGCAGCATCCCATCATCATCTTGGCCAAGCATATGGCCACCTCTCCAACAATAACCCTTAAACTGCTGATACTTGGGGAGGGTACTAACGCTGTGCTCAACACAGCTAATGTATTACTAAAAGAAGCACATCCCAAGCGACCCAAAAATAGAGCGGTCCAGGGATATCCTTCCCACAAATGGGGCCACAAATAACTCATAGAAATTCAATACCGAAGTTCTTCTAGCTTGTTTACTGCTTTACTTCCGCGACTGGGACGTTTGCCTCATCTGCCACCTCTTTGCCTTTATTCACGGCAATTGGCCCTTCTTGGATGAATATACAGAGAATACTTGCGAGTCCCAAACAGTATCCAGCAATCAGGAACGCCCACGGAAGACCTTCTTCACCGAGAGAGTCGCTCATTGCAGAAACGACAAAGGTAATGATGAGTTGAGGTACTATTTGAATGGATATAATGGGATGAGTCAACCAATATACGGTTAAAGGGAAGGCGTGCTAGTTTATACGTACAGCAGATGAACAAATTGAGGAGACCCATCCGCACGCCAATTTCATCAGATGTGTCCTCAGCAGCGTATCTTCCGACAAGGGCAAAGGGGAAGGCATTGATGGCAGAATTGGATATAGCCCAGAGCATGGTGACAAAGTAGGCCATGGTAACTGTCTGTGGTCCGACTTTGGCAAGGATAAAGAAGACTGCACCGACCGCAAGGCAAAGGAGGTATGGAATACGGACTTTGGTCAGAATACCGCGAGAAACGATAAAGGCTAGGGAAAGACCGAAAACTGTTTGGATGATGGCTTGGTAAAGTGAAGAGTCGCCATAGTTCTTTTGTCCCTCCTTGTAGAGTGCCTCTCTTTCTGCGGAGCAGCCAGTGTCTTTGGGGCAACCTTTGTACACGTTGATGCCCCACCAACTGGAAGCAGCCGGCCAGTAGGCAAAAGCGGCAGCCCATGACAAGAATTCAATAGCGCATACGACGACCATCTTTTTGTCCATCTTGAAGACGTTCCGGATGACAACGACAAAAGGCTCGGTGACCTTAATCTTTTTAACTTCACGAGTAGTGCGCTTCTCGGTAATGACAAAGCAGGTTAAGGTAATGAAGAAGATGTTGACGGCCATGACCGTGAAAATGAGCTTGGGGAGATCCTCAGGTGAGCCTGTCCAGAAGGCCCGAGAAAGACCAAAGCCAAGCATGGAACCTGGAGAAAAGGATGGGTTCATCACATGAAGTAACCGCTTAGACTTGATGTACTGAGACACTTACCACAGCCCTGGAAAAAGGTCGCAAACAATTGCACCGTGGTCTGTTGATCTTCGGCAGCATTGTCACCAGCCAGTGCTCTCAGCGGCGTTTGCATAACATTGATGGTGATATCCAGGATGATGAAGGAGATGAAAGAAACCGCGAGTCTCGCGCTACCGTAGTTGTTCGAGAGGGCAAAGACAGTTGAGGCAATAACGGTTAAGATGAGACCTGCGATGATAAACGGTCTCCGTCGACCGAGACGACTGGTACAGGCATCGGAAAAGGCTCCGACAACCGGGGCAGTGAAGAAGCCGGTAATGGGGCCGAAAATCCAGACTGGAAAAGCAAAGTTACATTGCATCCAAAATCGCTAAAGCGCAAAATCCGGACATACTGTTTCGCGACCAGAAAGGCCCAAGATGGTATGATTCCATGACAGGCGTGATGACACTGAACTCTGTAGACCAGATGGCTTGAACGCCAATCCAGGGCATTGTTAACAGCGCCAGCTGGAAAAAGGATAGCCTTTGTTCCGACATGTCGAATATGAGGATAACGTGAACCCAGACAAAAGCTGGAGAGAAGTCGCAGGATGGGGAGCTATTTAGCGACCTTCAAGACCCGCCCTAAACTTAATACTAGCTAGTGCTTTTTTTTCTTTCTGTCCATGCCGTCAGTAGAGCGAAATTTATGTAGAAACTTTTTGTCTCTTCTGACTACCTCCATGATTTTGCACTCTTTCGACGACCCAAGGAGAGGATTACAATCGTAACTAGGATCGTCAATCGATACTGCCATAGTGCTCTTGGGGCGCACACTTGAAGGAAGCAAAATCGGACCCAAAAAATGACAAACAGTCTGTCGCGTGAGGAAAGCAAATTTCAAGTGCACCAAAGCCTAACTGGAAGGTCGTTTAACGCAAACAGCAAAAAGCAACACCGCTCGGCCGCGCAGAAACGTGCCTGTGCGCGCTCGGCAGACTGTAAACTGCATACAATTAGCACGAAAAGGACAAAAAAAAAAGAGTAAGAAATCCCTGGGCTATCATCGCTACAGCAGATTTCATTATAGGTAGTACTTGGCCGCCCTGCCCCGCTGCCCCCATTGCGCAAAGTAATTCCACAGGAGGACTGGCACAAAGTGCTCGCTGTTCACATTAGAATCAAGATCATATCGATCAACACGATTCAAACATATCGTTACATATGCAGGGCAACAGTGGGCGATTGCAAGTTGCAAAGACCAAAAACCTTAAACCCGGTAAAGAAAAACCTTGACGAAAAGATCCAACATTTTTTGCCCTTCAGTAATCTGGGCGTTGTTGAAGGCCTTGCCAAGACCTTGCATGTAACGGATTTGGTGGAACTACCAGAGAAGCGTCCGTCTGCATGTCCAGACGAAAGGTCTGCTAAGTTAAGAACTGATATCGTTAGGCGATTATTCGCTGCTTGAATTAGCTTAGGCAGGCAGCCATTTGGCGAGGAGCGACTGATCGTGAAAGCTGGCATGAAACCCAGATTCTGCAATTACATGAATGAAACATAACGTTGATTAGGTGTTTTCTCAAGCAGATGTCGAGAGTGCTTTCAAGATGCCAAAGACCAAAAAATTGGGTATTCCGCATGAAATGCTCGTCAATATTCACGAGTTGCTATGACAACAAAAACTGATCAAAGCCGTGTAATTGGGGCCTCAGAGAGACTATTGGCAAAAATGTCCTGATATCCTCCAAAGTAACTAGTTTCCCCCTACCAAAAGAATTAAATATATGTATACATGAGTCTCTTCTCCTCCTCCTAGTACCCCTTGTCAGCTAGCTTTGTCACCAGCCCCAAGTAAAATCCAACAGAATCAAAATTCTCTCGTTTCGCAACCGCAGATGTAATGCCCCTCACTTTGGGTGGTATCAGCTGCCAATGATCGCAGGAAACAGTTCCCATAAACTCTCCCCACTTTGCACTGTCCAGCGAGACGAGACCATCATTGGCGCCCTCACGGGAGGAAATGATGCGGTAAGAAAAGTAAAGCGGGGCAAGCGGGCTCACGTCCGTTACAGCTGCGTAAGATGAGTAGTGCACTGTAGGATCGTCTGGAGTAACGTGGTTGAAGGCAGAGCAGTAGTCGCGTGTCAAGTTGGCGAATGCAGGAGAGTCAAGAGGAGAACAAAGCGCGCGTACAACAGGGTGTGCTTGGACCATTCTGGTTTGAGAAGCAGTATTTTCTGGAAGAGGGCGTGGCGGCTGCGTTGTAGTGTGCTCCTTCAGGTATTTTGCGACGACGTCATCCAATTGTTTGTTGACATAGTCGTGGAGGAGTCCTACACCAAAAGCATCACGGCACCAGTCCATGAATGCACTCCCTCGATGCGGCGTCGCGACTGTCGTTAGGGAATTGACCTTGAACTTGGGCGATGGAAGATGGGTGATCACATAGCGACAATCTAGTCCGCCCTGAAAAGCAAGTAGCTCGCTGTTAACTACAAACAGTGCAGGAGGTAATGTAGAAATAGGATGTATACCATTGAGTGAGCGATGAGATTGATCCGCTGCCCCTCCATGTGCGCTTCCAAGAATGCTCGGAGCTCATAGGCCCTCGTCTTGAGTGCGGCGACGGTCCCCACACGTGAAACATAAACTTTACAGCCAATATCCTTCAGCGCTTGCGCTATGCCCTTCCAGTAATGTATCTGAAGTGCTGGCAATGTTTCAGGGCCTGGATATGCACAGGATCATTTCAGCCAATCATACCTAGACCCCGACCAACTTTCTAGAACTTACCCAGCACATCGAATCCAAAAAGACCATGACACAACACTATTGGATCTCTTGGTGCTTTGTAATTCTCTTTTCCGACATAGCCTAAATGCGCTCGCTTGTTTCGGTGCTCTATGGACGATGGCAAGCCCCGATCGACGGGCCTCAAGTTGGCCCAGAGTATCCACGCCTTTGCTTTTCGTTCCTCTTGTCGTTGTTGTCTTTTGCGGGCTTGTAGTTGATCCCCTGCAGTAGCTCCAGTGAGATTTGCAGAGTTTGTGAATGAAAGTATCGGGGCAGTGAGGATGGAGGAGAGCTTTTGGCGGAGTTGAGCGGCAAAGGTTGTCAAAGACATTTATAAACGCGAAAGTGTATGCTGTAATGTGCTCTAAGAGGGCAGAGAGTAGGAAATTGTAATAAATTGGTAAAGCAACGAGGTCCAATTCCCAAAACGAGATGGGGTCGGAGATGGGCAACTCGTTAAAAACCTGCGATGACATGCCATTTCCCCATTCAAATGACCACATTCCCGTGATCCATCCGTTCACCCACGTGGACAAGTCATTTGAAGCCAAAAGCAGGAAAACGTGTCGCTTGAAGCATTTTTTGTTTACCTTTCAGACCCTCATGCGTTCATCAACTTTCAATGCATCGTTTAACAGGATATCGTCCTGTATGAATGTATTCGCAATGGAATCCCCGTGCAGGGAAACTGTAAGGCGTACGAAGAATGTGGATGAGAATCCGATTGAGTTGCCCTTTCCCTTTTTCGTACTTGGCGGCGGATGAATGGCAAAATTCCCAGATTTGGGGTGTTGACTTGTCTATTCACCCACTCAATCTGCAGTCGCCCTCTTTGCCAATCATAGCATATGGCATATGGCACCAGAACGGAACGGTGTATTCTGACCTCATTGGACAAAATCAAGAATTACTAGCGTGTGAGCATCTGCTTTCAGATACTCCTTCCATTGGACATTCATTTGACTAAAACAAAAGCGTCGGATCAGAGAAGCCTACAGGCATTTTCAGCACGGTCAGATCTAAGACGACCGTCGTGATATAAAGTCTCATCAGTTCCGCGCAAAAAGCTCCAGTTTCAGTCGGTGAGAATCCTACTATTCCTCGTGTGGAACGAAACACACAAGACAGCTCGAGCCATTCCAGACTAAGAATAGTATGACCTCATAGACAAAAACAGGTTTATAGATACCCAGTCAGACGGAGCCCACCATCCTTCCTACCGGGTTGGAATATCCCAGAGGAGCAATCTTCAACGGGAGGGAGGCGACCAAAAGGCACGCCTCAAACGCTCCCCACTTCTCGTTGGATAGAGGCTCTCCGTCTCATCATCCTGGGTGATATGTGCGACTTTGTTAGAAAACAAAGCGAGGTACGACAGACTCCACATATGATCCTGAAGAGTTGGTCGATAAAGAAAACAAGAGGAGGACGAGGAACGACGGGTTTTTATAGCCCTGGAGCCGCATCACGCGAGTGGCGCAATGACAAAAAAAAGCATGAGCCAATCACCGGTGCAGCCACTGTTAACATGGAAACAGGACTGCGCAAATTCGCTTGTTCAAATCCACACGTGATCCCCTTTCAAAAATGTTCAGATATCGAACAAAAAAAACCAATGTTATCTATAAAAAAAATACAGTATGACGTCCTATAACAAGAACCCAATGTACCTGCATCAAAGATTCATCCTATAAGCCAACCATTCTATGCACCGCTCATTGAAAAAAACTACAGATTGCCTCTCCTTTCCTGCTCATGTTCAATGGCCTCAAAGAGTGCCTTGAAGTTGCCTGCGCCAAAGCCTTGATGATTCTTTCTCTGAATAATCTCAATGAACAGGGTCGGGCGGTCTTCCACTGGCTTTGTAAAGATTTGGAGGAGATACCCGTTCTCATCATAATCGACGAGAATGTGGAGTTGCTGAAGGATGTCCAGGGATTCAGTGATTTTGGTACTGGACGTTGAGAGACGAAGGCGCAGGTTTTCATAGTAGACTGGTGGAACTGTGGGCGGCGCATGAGTATTGCGAGAGAGAAAATTGAAACATGTAAAAACACAACACATACTGGACAAAAACTCCACTCCTCTCTTCCTCAAATTAGTTACACTCGTAATAACATCTTCAGTCCTCAACGCGATATGCTGCACACCAGCTCCGCCATGGTAATCCACATACTCTTGAATTTGACTCTTCTTTTTGCCGACTGCCGGTTCATTGACCGGCATTTTAACGACTTCATCATAGTCCGTCATGACAATGGACCGAAGGGCACTGTATTCGGTGTGAATCTGGCTGTCATCAACTGACCAGAAACGATGGAAGTCCAGGGTACGTTCATAGAGATCACAGGCGGAGACCATTTCGTTGTCAGGTTGGTTACCGACAATGTGATCAATCTTCAGGAGGTTAGTGGGTGGACTGGATTGAAGGGAATCATGCATTGTTAGGTGAATATTAAGGGTGAAATGACGGCATTGAACTTACAGGAACGAAACGATAGGATCTACGGGTGGCGTAACAAAACCAGGAAGGAACGGTCCATTGTATTTTGTACGTTCGACAAACGTGTGCTCCACGTCCCCGTACTGATATCATAACCAATGAGAACACAAAAGAAGTTAAGGAGAAGGCAATGAATTGCAACTCACTGTCGCGATTGTGGCCATAACAACAGTTCCATTCTCATCCTAAAGCAGGTGGAAGCGTAAGACATATTTTACAAAACATAGACAATATGCTACGGGGTCTTACTGTTTCTTCCCAAGGCTCCCTAATGGATTTCGCACCGCGTTCGACCGCCTTTTTGTATATGGTTCGGCAGTCATCAACCGCAAATGCCACATCTAGAGAGTACTGTAAGCTTCAATATTGGACGTTAACAAGGAAGCAACATTGATGCATACTCTTTACAGCATCCCCGTGCACACTGGAAAGCGAATAAACAAATCAACACCTGGTACATCGCAGAGATAGACGACCATGCAAACGTACCTATGAAAATCACTCAAAATCTTGTTGTTCGGCTCCAAAGGAGACTGGAACACAAAGACAATGCCATTCTGTCTCACAGCATGGCTGACGATTTGACGGTGGCCTGTCTCAAGACCCTTGTACCCGATTGCCTCGAAGCCGACTGCGACATAATTAGAATTAACAGATGACAGACCACAAAAGATGTTGACTTACAGCGTGTGACATAAAAGGACGCAGCTTGCTTGGCGTTTCCGACCCTGTGAAAAACGGCTTCAGAGGACAGTACGCCAGACATTGAAAGCGGTAGGACCTTACCAGAAAGTCAAGTGGTCGTAGCCGTGGTAGCGACCATTGTCTGGGCGAGCTCCTCGTTCGTAGGAAGTCATTATGAAGCAGCAGTTACTTGAAGTGGATATGGGTCCGTGGAAAGGGGAAAAAGGCAAGTGTTGCCTGCTTTATAATGCACACACTGGAGCGTGTGACTCTGTCATGGACAGCGAGCGTTGTACGAAACGCGCAGACCCATGTTTCCATATTTAGGTTGATGATAAGTCCAGTAGCTGAGCGCAGTCACCCCACTTCTTATCATGTGACCTCCTGTGAGAAAGTGGTCCTCTACTGGCTTTCGATTAGCAGGCAGGTTACGCTTCAGTAAGCCAGGAAAAATCCTTTTTTCTATTTCAAGGTGTAGGCAGAAATTCTATAAACGTAGCGCAAGCTGGGGACGTGCCCACTTGACTGGTGGATACAGCACGGCAAGGCAACCCTTTTCTGGAGAGAACAGCACCGTCATTTCCACATTTGTCTATGACACATTGCATTTATGCTTTATCAGCTTTTATTTATTTTGCGTTCAGGACTCCTGAACGACATTCCAAATATTCCATTGTCCACAGCCCAGCCAATATCTCTAGGAAAGCATAATCATTGCTCCAGGAAGCATGACTGGACAAGCTATGTTGAGAACAATTTTGGTCGAGACCTCTCTATATATATATTTGCTGCTTTGGCCAGTGATTGATAGGTCTGGAGGTCGCCGTTTGTCCATCGATCTCTCATGTCCGCTGCAATCGTCCGGATGTTGCCAGTCAACAGGGAGTGCGACACGTGACAGTGTCAGCTTGTCCAGCAAATCAGACAAGGCATGTGGCTTTAGTCGTGTCATGTGATCTCATTTTAGGCATTGATTTCGACCCTATTGCACTCGCCGTCGGTGCAGCACATCACTCTGCTCGTAATCGCACTGCATCCAAATGTTGATCTCCCGTATTGATCTACGCATGCTACCTCCTTCTTGCCTAAGTCGCACCGGGGCTTAACTTCACAAGCACTGATGAGCAATCGGCATTAACAGTTGTCACTGCAGCATCAGATGAGGATAAAGTTAGTATGAAGAGTCGCTCGGAAAGTAAACGACGGTAAAGACTTCACACTGAGTAAGAGCGAAGAAGACGAGAGCGAGGACAAGGAAGAAGAACTTCATCGTGTATATGTAACAAATTTATGCGTGGAATTTAGCACCGTTTAGGTCGTCGTTCCGTGCGTAATGGAGTGCTGGAGAATCCTAAAAGATGTCTTCCCCTTTACACTTCTACTTCAACCTCAAGTCTTTGATGTGGGCCATGCAGTTGACTGGTAAAGGGTTTGTTCTTGATTTTGGTTCAGGGCACTGGAAATCCGCGGCAAGGATCGCGGCTCACGGTCATGTGAGTGCACTCCACTTGGATGAGCTGTTTGAACAGTTGTTGCTGAGATATCTCAAGGGTCGACCTATTCACCAGACACTCATTGGTTTATTGCAACTATCCCTCACCCTCCATAACTTTAATCTTAATGCCATGGATCATAGCGTCTCTACCTATCATTTCACTAACCCTCATCTTCCTATCTTACATTCCTGTTTACCTTGCCACTTTGACAAATACGTTGCATCCTGGTTTGAGATATGAAGAAGACAAGCCAGCCCAGCCCAACAAACAATGTCAAATCATCTTTGATGGCTCGAACAGGTCGACAAATGTGTGCAGTTGATGTGCCATCCAGATGTGTCTCGTCCTCACCCATTCCACACTCTGAACGAGACACTTGAAAGGACGCACAACCGCGTCACAAAAATACGAAAAGTGGGACATGTTGAAGCACATCAAAGTACGATTTGACACTATCAGCGGAGAACAAGGGCGTGTTCTTCTTACATAACACCCGCCTTCCCGCCTTGGGATTTCAACGCGGGGGCGGACATCTTGGCCGAAAAAAGAAACGAAGAGGGACTGCAAACGCCAGCGCGCCGTCTTATAGATTTTGGCTCCTCTTTTGATTGGAAACGCCTCTTTCCTTTTACCCAGAAAAGGAAGGAAAAAGCATTTTTTTTTTGCCAGAGGCTGTCTTTGACCTCCCAGGCCCTCTCTTGCCATGTCACAAAAAGGGCCAACTGTCCTCATCATGTGCATTTGTCGTTGTGTTTGTTAGCAAATCACATGACATAATACATGCTGACTGTGCCACCTCCGCGTTTCGATGTCTCCGTCCTGACAGTTTTTTGCTTTTTCTTTCCTTTTCCGTCTTTCTTTCCACACACGTCGCAGCATTTTGGGATACAAATGCATCCGAACTTTGGACCACAACCCGCCGCCTCCCGATCCCGCCGCCTGCTCCAAGGTTTTTTCCCACGCTCGCTCAAGTAAAGGGCTTGAACGCATCTCATCACGCATCTTACCATCTTTTGGCAAACATCGAGCGACTACAAGTAGAAAACGGTAGAAGGAACACATTCTTGATTGATAGAGAGACAGCGAGGATGGGAGAATCGTCGAATGCGCCGTCAAAACGCTTGGCGGTTCTCTATGCGTACAATGGATCGCTTTTCCAAGGCCTTGAGAGGTAGGCAGTTATATCGTATGAGAAGGAGCGCATGTGAAATTGGATCACTGATGAGTATCTGGTCCTTTTCTAGGTCAAAGGGATTGAAAACCATCGAAGGTGTTTTGTTGAGCGCCATCGCAACAATTGTGGGTGAAGCGGACCCGACAAAGAGAGTTTCGGTAGGCTTTTCAATGCCGTTCGTTCAACACTGGAAAGTAACTGACGTTTTGGGAATCATTTTAGCTCGTCAACATTAGTCGTGCGTCTACAACAGAAGCTGGCGAACATGCTGCTCGCCAAGTTCTCTCGCTTGAAGTGGCGGCAAGCGAGAATGCGCCAATGCCAACCGCTGAATCTTTGACGCCTTTATTGCCGGACGGTATCAAGGTGTTCGATATTATCCAGCTGAACACGTCCTTCTCGGCGAGGAGGACCTGTGACACAAGGACATATGAATATCTTATCCCGGTACGTTTTGGAATGCTACTCATGAGTCACGGTTAATGCAGGCTGCTTATCGTATTTTTGGGGGTAGACGTATGTATTTGCACCTCCCCCGCCCGAAACGCATTACTCGTATCCTCCCCTGTCGGATACAGAATTTGAAGAGCTATGGCCCGTAAATGAAAATCTAGGTCCTCCTGGCGGTCTTTTCAAGACTATCAAGCGAGGCATGTCTCTCAAACGGAACAAGAGCCAGGCACGCTCCATGAGTCGCGCAAAAAGTGTGAACCGAAAGGCGAGCCGTAGGGATGCGTCTGGCCCGCCAGAAGACACTGTGGCGCCTCCTAAGCTCGAGCGCTCCATGTCCAGTCCTTCCCTCCCCTCTCCCCCACCATCTCCGTCGTCGCACCCAGTAGAGAAGAAGAGTGGTCTTCGCAAGTTTTTCGAAACGCTTACCCGCGGCCGCTCAAAGACAAGGAACGTGGAAGAAGAAGTGCCCGTCACAATTGCGCGTAGCAAGAGCAGAAAGGGGCAGGCTGGGGGAGTTCCATTGACAGCTTCAGGGTCAGCTCAGTCGTTTTCTAACGAGGTGTCCTACTCAACGTCTTCACCGGAGAAGGAAGATGATTTTGGCTTTATTGCCACACTCCGTCGGTCGGTATCCCGTAAATCTACTCGCAGAAGAGACCCCGAAATCGCCTCTTTGCGGGGATCTGGGGAGGATGCTCTGGAGGAGGAGAAACCAGAGACTGCCGAACCGCAATACTTTGATCCTCTCCACTTCCCTCCGCCCAGCGAGGAGGAACTTAGCCTGACTCGCCAGTACCGAATCACCGAAGACCAAGTGAAAGCCATGAATCACATTTTGGCCATGTTCAATGGAACACACAACTGGCACAACTATATTCCTGGCGCCAAGTATGAAGATTCACGGTGCTACATGCGCATCATCAACATTGAATGCAGCGCCCCAGAGGTGCACTTTGGCATGGAATGGCTTCGAATTAAGGTCCAAGCCAAGGCTTTTGCGCGGTACCAGGTCCGCAAGATGATGGCAATGGCTATCATGGTCATTAGAACCAACACGCCACGAAGCATTGTTGCCAACTCATTTGGATATGCCAAGATTGAGATACCGGAGGCTCCTGCGATGGGATTGATTTTGGATGAGCCGCACTACGACACTTTCAACTCTGATTGCGAGAGGAGATCTGATCCAAATGGCATCCACTTTGCCAAACACCTGGTAATGTCCAACTGCTCAGAATCACTATTTACTACCATCTGAAAGCTAATTTTTTTTGTTTCAACAGCCCGCGGTAACGGAGTTCCGTCATCATTCAATTCACGACCCTGTGTACCGAGCCGAACTTGAGTCCATGAAATTCAACGAATGGGCACGAAACCTCGATGCTTATTCCTTCCTGTACACGTACTACCTCAATGAACGCGGGGTGATCAAACCAAACACCAACTATGTTACCAAGGCGGCCATTGAGCAGGAACGTGCCGCTGCTGAGGCAGCGAAGCAGGGTGTTGCTGATGGATTGTTTGTCAAAGAAGAGGCGAAAGCGTGAGCTCAGCAATTCTACATGATTTATTGACAGTTGTGTTAAGTCGTAGGTAATGGGTAGTATTGGAATAGTGTCGTTATAGGAGTTGTAGTAGTAGCGTTGTAAAGACAGGATGGAAGCCAATTTGGCATATTTTTGGGGAGCAAGGGCGGTGGCATTCAAAATTACTATTTGTATGATTTGTTTCGGTTCCTATCATTTTCTGTGTCTTAATACATTTTCATGTTTCTTTTGGGAACTGGCTCTACAATTGGGGTTAGTAGTGCGGAGCCGGTGGGTATTGGCACTAGCACCCGCACCAGGGATTGAACCGCGCGACAACCGGTTCGGAAACCTTAATCTAACTAGTCTACGCTACGCTACCACTGGAACACCCCTCCTGAACACCTCTGGTCTACCGTGTCCATCCAACATTGATTGCATGATTGCCAGCATGTTGCAGGTTGACAGTGTATCTCGATTCCAGTAGCGCATTGTCCAGGCTTGCTGCAAACAGTTAGGGTTGGTACAACCCAGCAATCCATGGACTTTTTCAACCTTGCCTTCTTGTCATCACCAAGGTCTTGAATGAGGTCATGTTTTGAAGTCCTTTTCAAGGAAGTGTAACGACGAGGACGTCTTCGAGAGATCGCGAGTAAGCCCAAATCGGACGCGGGAAGCACGAATCGCGTGACCAACTCCACCGATTGGGTTACCGCGACCGAAAAAACCGGTTCGGAGAATGGCAATTGGCGCATTAGATTTCAGCGTGCCTCGTACAACCTGTGGAGGCCCGAGCCAGTGCGGAAAAGGAAGAGATCGGTACCGCCACCAATAAATCAGTTGCGGTGCAGCGACACCCATTAGTTTAGTTTAGTTTAACAGTTTATCCAAGAATCTTGTATAAAAAGGATGTATTCAATAAAATAAGTCGGGGCAGAAG